AGATGCAACCAGCGAGAGGGGAAAACAGTAGTGTCAAGATAAGTTGGGCTTTTACAAACAAAACAAAAATCCAAACTCCTGATTACTTTCCTCCTGCTTGTAACCTCGGTACTCAGGAGGTTGAGGCAAGAAAACCACCACAAATTCAAGGGTATCCTGGACTGTGATGTGGGAGTGCCCTCTGTGTGCCGGGATTACCATTAATGAATAAAGAAACTGCCTTGGCCTGTTGATAGGGCAGAACTTAGGTAGGTGGGTAAGATGGAACTGAATGCTGGGAGGAGGAAGGCAGAGTCAGAGAGAGACGCCATGAAGCCACTGCCAGAGGTAGACCGTGCTGAAACTTTGCTGGTAGGCCATGACTTCGTAGTGATTCACAGATTAATGGAGATGGGTTAAATTAAGATGTAAGAGTTAGTCAATAAGAAGCTAGAGCTAATAGGCCAAGCAGTGATTTAATTAATACAGTTTCTGTGTGATTATTTCGGATCTAAGGGAGCTGGGCAGCCAGGATGAACAGTCTTCCTACAGACTGGCGCTCATAGTAAGTCCCTGTCTCAAATAAATATAAATAAGCAAAAAGCATAAGACACTAGGTATGCAGGTCAGTAACCATTTCTCTACTCCTTTCATTTGTGGTTCCTGAGTTAATATTTACCTTTCCCTGGACAGAAATCTCGGACCCTAATTATGAATATAGCCAAAAAGAAATATTGGTGGAAAATAATGACAGATACGTGAAAAGATCAGAAGTACTAAATTATGAAGGAAAAACAGTTAAGTAGATAAAAATCACATGGTATTGGCAAGCAGAGGCTAGGCAAAGAAGGACAAAGGATCAAGGCTCATGACTCAGAACATCAGGATCTAAGAAATAAGTTTTCAAGGAGAGTAGGGTACTGCATGCCTGTAATGTCAGCACTCAGGAAGCTAAGGCAGAGCTGCTGCAAGTTAGAAGTCAGACTGGCTGCATAGGGAGCTCAAGGACAGCTGTATACAAAGGAAAAATCTGTCCAAAACAAGAAAGGCCAAGAAACAAAAATGGGGTCGGGGAGAAAAATAAAGTTGTTTCCAATTTCAAAGGACAAGACATATGTTAACACCAACATATCATCTGGAGAGGGCTCAGTGGTTAAGAACACTCACTCACGGCTCCTTCAGAGGACTGGAGTTCAATCCCAGCATCCCTGTTGACAGCTCACAACCACCTGTGTAACTCCAGCTGGGGGGGGGGGGGATCTGACACCCTCTTCTGAGGGCCCCTACAAACATGTACATACACCCACACACGGACATTTACATACACCTGAAGATAAGAATGACATTTAAACTTGTGTTTTTTTAAGTGCCCTGGAAGGGGAAAGAAGCAGTCTCCTTTCCAGCACTGAGTAACTTAACAGCTAGACACTCTGAACAATATATAGTCCAGGCAAACCACTCAGTGGGCAACCTGCACAAGCCTGGCAACCTGAGTTCAAGCTCCAGAACCCACAAGGTAGGAGGAGGATTAGAATGAACTCTTATAAACTGCCCAGTGGTCTCCATACGTGTGCTAATCCATACACAGACACGTTTGCCATATTTTTGTTTTCTGAGACAGGGTTTCTCTGTATAACAGTCCTTGCTTTCCTGGAACTCACTCTGTAGACCAGGGTGGCCTCGAACTCACTGAAGTCCACCTGCCTCTGCCTCCTGACGTTGGGATCGAAGGTGTGCACCACCACCACCCGGAAAACGCAGTTTTTATTAACACAAAAAGCTTTCAGTCACATAGTGGTGACTCACGCCTAAACAACGGAGTGCTGTGCGCGGCTGAGGCAGCCTGCTGGGAGTTTGAAGCCAGTGTGCGCTCCAGCGCTAACTCAAGCCAGGCTGCGAACTCAGGCCAGGCTGGGAGAGTCTATGTCCAAAAAAAGAAGTCATCTGCTATAAATTCAGGATAGCTGGCTGAGTAGAATGCAGTTTAGCTACCACCGCAGACAACCAGTGTCTGCTCCTCGCTGCTTTCAAAACAACCGTATTTTTAAGAGAATTTCCCCAACTGCCTTCTCTCACACAGGTTGAGAAGACATCAGCACCCTTTACCACAGTGTACTTTTTCCCTTTTTTCCTCCTTCCAAACAACTAACCAGGTCTGTATCAGCACAAAATTGGCCTATATTTAGTAAGCATAGAAGAGTAAAAGCCATTTCACAGATGAAAAACATGAAGCTTGGGAGAAAACAAATTGCCCAGGATAGCCCTGTCAGTGAGCAAAGAAGTCTAAGACCGACCTTTGACTTCCAAGCCCAGAGAGACCTGTGAAGTCAATGGTTCACGCCACAACTGCGGAACACTGGGAAGGGGCACACAAGTGACTCAAGTCTGGGAACGTGCACCCCACCCATCTCCTCAGGGAAGTACTAAATCAGTAGTGAGCAGGACATCGGGCATCCTTCCTAAGGATGTCCTTCCTAAGGATGTGTGTGTGTGTGTGTGTGTGTGTGTGTGTGTGTGTGTGTGTTGATGAAAACTGCACACAGGGCCTTGCCCATGCTAGGACAAGTGTTCTATCACTGAGCTACATCTCCAATCCCTTCCTAATTTTTAAACATTTTTCTTTTTTTTTTTTTAAAGATTTTATTTATTACATATACAATACAGTGTTCTGCCTCCATGTATGCCTGCATGCCAGAAGAGGGCACCAGATCTCATTTTAGATGGTTGTGAGCCACCATGTGGTTGCTGGGAATTGAACTCAGGACCTCTGGAAGAACAGTCAGTGTCCTTAACCTCTGAGCCATCTCTCCAGCCCCTAAACATTTTTCTTGTGGTATTATATTGCCTAAGACCTCCAGAACATAGGCAGGGTAATGATGGTGCACACCTTTAATCCCAGCACTGGGGGGAGGCAGAGTCAGCAGATCTCTGTGAGTCTGAGGTCAGCCTGGTCTATAGAATAAGCTCCAGGACAGCCAGAAGTATGACACAGAGAAACCGTGTCTCAAAAAAAATAATAAAAATAAAAAAAAAAGGTGTGGGGGGGGGAGTTGCTGGGGTTGTTTATAATTCTGAGCTGAATTCAGGTTTTACCAATAAGCACTTTTCTTCAGATGAACACATACACTTTGGAGGTTTAGTTTATCAAAACTCCTTCCTGCTGGGTATGATGTTTCATAGCTGTAATCCCAGCAAGCTGAGGCAGCCTAGACTACTTGAGTTCTAGGACAGCCTAGGATACAGATAAGATTCCACCTCAGAAAAAGAGAGGGCAGATAAGAAACGGAAACTTCGTTATGGAGGATCTCTGGTCTAGCCTTTTCCCTTCTCTATGCTGTTTCCCACTCCCCTCTTCCCTTTTCTCTTACTTCAGATTCCTTCCTACACGCCTCAAAGTTAAATCATGTCTGTCGCCTCCAGTCACAGAGCCAAAGATTTGGGGAGTCCTATGCCTTTCGCTTTCATGTCTCTAGACCAGTGGTTCTCAACCTTCCTAAGGCTGCAACACTTTATTACAGTTCCTCATACTGTGGCGACTCCCAGCCATAAAGGTATTTTCGTCGCTACTTCATAACTGTAATTTTGCTACTGTTCTGAAATGTAACGTAAATACGTGTTTTCCGACGTTGGACAGCGGGGGTCGCGACCCACAGATTGAGAACAACTGCTCTAGACCAACACCGTTTCTAAAACTGGCAACCAAAAGAAAACTAGCAAGACAGGCATTGTTACCACCCTGCAGGTTTCTGCCTTCCATCTCTGGAACCCATCCTTCAATAATTTCCGCTCTTTCAAATTAAAACTAAGAGGGGCAGACTCGCACTGGATCCCTGCTGAATTTCTAATGTGTTGCCTGGTTCGGCATAAGCCTGGCTATCTAGTGGCTGACCGAATCTCAGGGTTTCAAAGGCTGTTCAGGAAAGCCGAGGAAGACAGACGTTTCTAACTTTTCTCTCCAAAAGGGAGGGGCGCGGATACAGTCGAATTAGGCAGTTCCAGGATTTAAAAACTGAAGGGGGCGAGAGGAATGAACCTTTGAAAGCCCGAGGGAGCTAGGAATTCTTTCTGGCAATCAATATTTCTTTCGAATCAAAAGCGCTAGCCGAGGTGGCAACACCAACGCGAGCAGCCAAAAGGTTGCATCATGTGGAACCGCGCCGCGCCGCGCTTGAGAAACAAGAAAACCAGATGGTGGTAAAATACCGGACAGGAAAACCCAAGTCGGGAATCTCCGTCTTCTCCGGAAGCCCTGGGGCATCCACCCTTCTTTTCGTTTTTGCTTTTCTTTCCTCTTTTTTTTTTTTCTGTTGTCTGGGGTTTTGGGGAGGTATCATAGTCTCCCATTAGTATCCCTGGCTGGACTCGAACTCGAGGCACTCCTTAAACCTCAGCTGCTGGGTCATAGCTTAATCACCACGTCCGCTTTAAGGGGCGAGGGGGGGATCTCCCCTTTCCCCGAGGGGGAGGAGGACAGAGTTGAGGGATCCCACGTATCCCAGGCTTGCCCTGAGCTCGGTAAGTAGCCAAGTCTGGCTCTGAAAGCCCACTCTTCTTGGCTCCGCCTTCCCTGTTGCTGGGTTTAAGGCGTGCGCCACCCAGCCCCGCTCCCGGTTTTCCCCGGTATTTTATTTAACATTGCATCGAAATTAAAGTTTCAGTTTCACACCGGCGGAGCGCCAGCGCTGGAGTAAGTTGGGTGAGCGATCAGCCGGGCGGTCCGAGGCGGGGTGGGGCTTGGACAGGGCGAGGAGGGTGACAGGACCCACGCGGCGCAGCGGAGGCGTCCGGCCCTGCGGAGTCGGCTCTCGATCGCCGCGCGCGCCCGCCCGCCCGCCCGCCCGCCCGCTCACCCGCGGGTTCCGCCTAGGTCCCGCTGCGCTGCGTGGCGGGAAGGCGCGGGGCCGAGACAATGGGAAGGGGCGCGGGAGGCACGGCTCTGCCTCGGGCCGCGGGGACGCCGCGTGGGAGCGCCTCGGGGCGAGGGAGGGGACACGGGCCACCCCGGGACTGCGAGCGCTCACCTTGACGAAGAGCTCGATGAGGGGCTCTTTGTCCTCCTCCTTCAACCCGTTCAGGGGCATCGACAGCGCCATGGCCGGCTGGGCTGGGCTGGGCTCCGCGGACTGCGGCTGTTGGCTGTGGCTCTGGGGCTGCTGTGGCTGCGGGCTCCCGCCGCGCTCGCTCGCTCGCTCGCTCGCTCGCTGGACAGTCCCGACGTCAAGCTGCCCGCCCGCGGCCACAGGTCCTCAGCACCGCCTCACGCCTCGCGCGCGACTCGGAGGGGGTTGCGGTCCCAGCTACTTCAAACCGCTGGGCGGGACCCGCTGGGCGTGGTGTGGGCGGGGCAGCGGCCCGGCGCCTCGGACTCTGCGGGGGGAGTGGGCGGGACAGGCCTTGAGGGGCGTGGCCTTGGGCGAGGAAGGCGGGGGAGAGCGGTTTGGCTTCCCCGACGGACCGCTGGGGAGCCCGGAGGACCGCAGGGCGTGGCCTAGGCTAGGCAGCGCGGATGGGCGGGGCCATGAGCCACGCCCCCTCAGGGGGCGGGAGGGTAAGGTCCCCGGAGCCGGAGCCTGACACCGCCTCCCTCCGCGGCGCGGCCGCGTCCTCCGCAGCTGCTGCTGGTTGGGTGCCAGGTGACCTCATGCGGCGTCCCGCCTCGCGCCCTCTCCCCCGCTGCCGCCGCCGGACTCGTCGTCATCCCCGCCCGTTCCCGGGGCGGCGGCTTCCCCGGCTCCTTCAGTTAGGTGCGGCCGCCTTTTCCTGGAAAACTTTTGCGAAAGTTTTCATGTCCTTAAGTACTTTTTTTCTTCTTCTGACTGCGGACATCCTCTCGGGATGCTGCTCTATTAGATGTTAAGATACTCAAAAACTCATGTAAAGCCGTGCTGTGTCCCCGGCTCCGAGTTAGACGGAAACGATGGGACAGGATCCCGCTCCACTACAGCCCCGGTGCCTGAGGCAGCGCCAGACTCCTAAATCGCTATCCACTCTCTTTGCACCGCCTACACCGATTCCTTTCCTTAGTTCACCTGGAGAACTTTAGTGTTCTGCGCCTTAGAGCCACCTGAGTGACGCCCTCAGCGCGCAGGGGCCAGAGTACTCTAGACCCTGAGGTCAGAGACCAGAGAGACACGTGGTCGGCTGTGGATTGATTGCCTGGGGTGAATGCCACCTCAGGAAAATATGTCTTCTGGCTTTCCTTGATCTAGTCATTCTGTGTACCTCCCAGGTTGGGGTGTTGAGTGAGTTGATTAGAAAGGCCAGATTGGGGGTGGGGGCGGGATACGGCCTGGTGTGGATCAGAAAGCTTCTACAAATTGGAATGTGTGAAAATACGATGCATCCTGCCACTTTATCCTCATTCAATCCAATGCCAGTTACTAGGTTCTCTGAAAGGCATGCTGTGCCCCAACAATTAGCTCCAGCGACTCTCTGAAGTGCAACTGTTCACAGTTTGACAGTGAACTTAAATGTCCTAAACCTCCTTGGCCTGATTTAGGGACACGTGCATGGCTAGGCTCAGGCAGGAGGGTGGAGGGTTTGAGGACAGTTTGGATATATTACAAGACTGTCGCCCCCCCCTCCAAAAAAAAAAACCAGAAATATAGAATAAGGACAGTAAGTTGATCCAACAAGTAAAAATACTCGCTTTGCAAGACTTATAGCCTGGATCTGATGTTGGGAAACCCACCTAAAGGCAGAAGGAAAAAACCAGCTCAATAAATTTATTCCCTGACTTCTACATGAGTGAGTGCCATGACACACATACAATCTTTTGTTTTGTTTTGTTTTTCAAGACAGGTTTTCTCTGGGTAACAGCCCTGGCTGTCCTAGAACTCACTCTGTAAATGTGGCTGGTCTTGTACTTACAGAGATCCTCCTGCCTCTGCCTCTGCCTCCTGAGTGCAGAATTAACCTCCTCCTCCCTAGTGCTAGCATAGCAGCCAGCAATAACAGTGTTTTTTGTTTGCTTGTTCTTTGAGACAGGGTTTCTTTCTCTGTATAGTCCCGGCTCTCCTGGAACTCACTCTGTAGACCAGGTTGTCCTTAAACTCAAAGATCTGCCTGCCTCTGCCTCCCTACTGAATTTTTAATAGAGTCAATTGGTAGACTGTCAGCCTAGTACACTCAAGGCCCTGAGTTCAGTTCCCAGTACTGCATAAACTGAGTGTGATGCCTGTCATCCCTGCACTCCAGAAGGAGATTAAGAGTTTAGGGTTAGCCTGGCCGTGGTGGCGCACGCCTTTAATCCCAGCACTTGGGAGGCAGAGGCAGGAGGATCTCTGTGAGTTCGAGACCAGCCTGGTCTACAAGAGCTAGTTCCAGGACAGGCTCCAAAACCACAGAGAAACCCTGTCTTGAAAAAACAAACAAACAAAAAAAAAAAGAGTTAAGGGTCATCCTCAGTTTATATAATGAGTTTATAATGAGTTTGAAGCCAGCCTGGGCTACATGAGACTCTGTCTTTTTTCTTTTTCTTTTCTTT